GAGCATTAATAGTTGCAGGGAGGATAATGTGCCTATTAAGGCCGAGGCAGATAACATGTATCAGCAGCTGCAGAATTGCTGGGCTATTTATGATGTGATTTGGCCGTAGAGAGATTTTTGTGTTTTTTTTTGCGGGGGTCCTTTTGCGTTAATAATTGGTCTTTGTTGATCAATCCCGAGTTGTTACTGTTTTTGTTTTCTTAAATGTGTGTAACTTGAAGGAGATTAGGGAATAATGTTGTTAGGAATACATGTGTTTTTTCCCCCTCAACTTTTGTAGAAGATTGGGTTCTTAATAAACGTAGCATGTTTTAGATTATTTCAAACTCCACCGAATCAAAGGAAAGGTTAATGAACAGATAATGATTCAATTTTATTCGCATCAAAAGTTGATAGTTTCATATGAAAAAATAAGGATTGAAATCATCACCTCCTCTGAGGAGAATAGAACGAGGAGAAGCGGATAAGCAGCGAGAGATAATACTAGAAGTGATCCTACGAGCAGTGAGTGCACGGAGGGATCTTGTTGGGCCCATCAGCCCTCGGCCGCAGCCACATATTTCTCGACAATGTGTTCCCTAGACGCAGCCTGACGGTGCTCGACACAATCACCAACATTGGCCTCCTATACTTACTTATTAAATGAGTTAGATAAAAATGCAATCTTGGTTCTTGAGTTAGATATAAATTATTTTTTAGACCACCTTTATTTTCCACTCAGGAGCAAAAGATAATCCTGACTACGCCAGTGCATGAGAGCAATCTCAAAAGTCCCTTTGGCTCCGCCAGAGTTAAAAGGAGGTTAATGAGCAATTGAGGGAATTTCGATTTGTTTGAGAATTTTGATAGACTTAACATATCAACTCAGAATGCGCCGTGTTATTCAAGAAGAAGAATGAGATTGAGACTGTTTGCCTCTTTTCGGGTTAATAATTGGTCTTGATGATCAATCCCAAACTGTTAATTGTTTTTATATGACTATGTTTTTATGAGAATCGTGGCTCGTTATTAATTTGGAGGTGATAAGGAAATAATGTTTCCTAAAAATATGTAAGTTTTAAGGGAAAAATGCTTCCAGCCCCCAAAACGAATGAAAACAAGCTTCCCACCCCCAAGACTTTTTCAACGGGTGCTTTACCCCCAAAAGTAAATTTTTTGTTCTCTGAGCCCCCAAAACACAAAGCCCAATGAATTTCACACAGGGAAAGACTATAATACCCATTCTCTCTCTCTCTCTCTCTCTAACCCTGCAATCCCTCTGCTCTCCCTCCTCCCTCCCCCACCTCTCCACCCGCCGCCACCACCCTCCTCCTGCCATCCTCACCTTCTCTGCCACCGTCGCTGCGGCCATCCATAGCATCCTCAAGATCCACAACACAGAGAAAACCCGGCGTGGTTCGAGGAGTACAGAGAGATCGTCCGTTCGGTGGCCGAGCGAAACTCCGACGACGAGCGCTGCATAGCCGACGGGAACAAGCGACTGAGGTTTTACTGGTTCATGATTCTCTGCGCGCTGGGTTTCATGGGAGTGTGGGAGCGTGCGGGAGGACCTGTTCATGGGAGCGTGCGGGAGGACCTGTTCATGGGAGCGTGATGGGAGCGTGGGAGCGTGCGGGAGGACTCGCCCAACCCAAGAACAATAATAAGAAGAAGAAGGACAAGATTGATAGTAATTACAACCATGCCCCCTAACCTTGGTTGCTCCTGCTTTGGATGCTACAAGAGCTTCTGGGCTCGTTGGGATGCCTCACCCAACCGCCATGTCATCCACCTCATCCTCGATGCCTTTGAAGAGACCCTTGAATCGAAGGAGGCCAACAGCAAGTAGAAGAGGGGGTTGAAGAGTAAAAAGATTGATTTTGATGAGGTTTTGGCGAAAGAGATGAGTGCCCATGAGGAGAAAGTTGATGATGATGGTCATGATGATGGGTACATGCATGTTACTAATTACCAACGCTAAAACTATTACCACCAAAAAAACTTTAAAATAACCCAAATAAAAATATACCGGTTGCTTGTTAAAATTACTCCCCCATTAGAATGTCCTACATTGGTTGTTAAGGTTATATGTTGGTTGTTAATGTTACGCGTTTGTTGTTAAGGTTACGTATTGGTTGTTAAGGTTATATAGGTTGGTTGTTAAGGTTACGGTTTGGTTGTTAAGACTACGCGTTGGTTGTTAAGGTTACGGGTTACTTGTTAAGGTTACAGATTAGTGTTAATGTTATACGGGTTGATTGTTAAGGTTACGGGTTGCTTGTTTAATAATCAACTCGTAACCTTAACAAGCAAACCATATAACCTTAATAACCAACCCGTAATCTTAACAACCAACCCGTAACCTTAACAACCAATCAGTAACATTAACAACAAACGCGTAACCTTAACAAGCAACCCGTAACCTTAACAAGCAACACATATAACTTTAACAACCAACCCGTAACATTAACAACAAACACGCAACCTTCATATTAACGGATCTTGAGGATCTCTCTGTCGGATTATTAGGCTCTGAAAAACACGCTAATTGAAGAAATATGTAAACTCCTGAACGTAGCTTGAAGCTTGAGAAATGTTGTGAATAGTGCCATGCATATTAATTAAAAGATGTTGCCATACTAAGAGTTATTACAAAAAAGCGAGTGTTCTTGAAAAATATATAAATTTATTTTGGTTACCTATTAAAGACGTTAACAGGGATGGGCGGGCCAACATGCATAAAAATAGTGCATCTAGACTTCCTATATCGTCTAAAAGTTACTCTAAATATACAGAACACTCAGGATCTCTCTGTCGAAATCAACGCGTTTTTCCCCGTCGAGCTTGGATTTGATGTTTTGGTGCATTTTGTTTGCTTCACTGGTCCTTGTTCTGCTGTTATTGTGATGTCGAGATTTCACCTTGTTTGTTAGGTCCAAGTTTACATTTTTCTTCAATTAGCGTGTTTTTCAGAGCCTAATAATCGGTCAGAGAGATCCTCAAGATCCGTTAATATGAAGGTTACGTGTTTGTTGTTAATGTTACGGGTTGGTTGTTAAGGTTATACATGTTGTTTGTTAAGGTTACGGGTTGCTTGTTAAAGTTACGCATTTGTTGTTAAGGTTACATGTTTGTTGTTAAGGTTACGGGTTGGATGTTAAGATTACGGGTTGGTTGTTAAGGTTACGAGTTGGTTGTTAAACAAGCAAAAACTCGTAACCTTACCAATCAACCCGTATAACGTTAACACCAATCCGTAACCTTAACAAGTAACCTGTAACCTTAACAACCAACGCGTATTCTTAACAACCAACTCGTAACCTTAACAAGCAACCTGTATAACCTTAACAACGAATACGTAACCTTAACAACAAACGCGTAACATTAACAACCAACATATAACCTTAACAACCAATGTAGGACATTCTAATGGGGGAGTAATTTTAACAAGCAACCGATATATTTTTATTTGGGTTATTTTAAAGTTTTTTTTTGGGTAAAAGTTTTATTGGTAATTAGTAACATGCCCGCACCCATCATCATGGCCATCATCATCAACTTTCTCCTCATGGGCGCTCATCTCTTTCGCCAAAACCTCATCAAAATCAATCTTTTTACTCTTCAACCCCCTCTTCTACTTGCTGTTGGCCTCCTTCGATTCAAGGGTCTCTTCAAAGGCATCGAGGATGAGGTGGATGACATGGCGGTTGGGTGAGGCATCCCAACGAGCCCAGAAGCTCTTGTAGCATCCAAAGCAGGAGCAACCAAGGTTAGGGGGCATGGTTGTAATTACTATCAATCTTGTCCTTCTTCTTCTTATTATTGTTCTTGGGTTGGGCGAGTCCTCCCGCACGCTCCCACGCTCCCACGAACAGGTCCTCCCACGCTCCCATGAACAGGTCCTCCCGCACGCTCCCACGCTCCCATGAAACACAGCTCGCAGAGAATCATGAAGCAGTAAAACCTCAGTCGCTTGTTCCTGTCGGCTATGCAGCACTCGTCGTCGGAGTTTCGCTCGGCCCTCGAGCGGACGATCTCTTTGTACTCCTCGAACCGTGCCGGGGTTTTCTCCGCGTTGTGGATCTTAAGGATGATGTGGATGGCCGGA